ACCCGTTCCGGGCTTAGCGTACGTACATGGTATTCAAGTTTCGAGTACCACCCCTACTTTCTAGTCTCCCTTGAGAGACTAAGGCCGCGTGAGTTCGTCGTACCAAATGGGCGAATCTCATAGCGCAAGGGTGTCCTTGCTCGTTAGAATCATACAGCATGAAATCATCATCAAGTACAATCATTATGATCATGTATGACATCAATCACGTATCATTATCATCATCTTGAATATATATGCTATATTATGTCATATCATGAATAATTGTATGTCTACTTGCTATTCAATTTGGAATTGTTGTATTAGCATATTCCTCAGCTGACGCTGAGCGTGTAGTTTGTTTTACTTGCTACACGCAGGTAACGACACTGGTCATGGAGCCCATCCCGGAGGTCAACGAGAGTGAAGAGATGTACGGACTGGTGGACCACTTTTTTGATGCTTTAATTAAATACACGAAAGAATGCCGGGGCGTTATATGGAATGGGGGGGAAGTAAAGACTCAGCTTTATCAGACAGACAGCTAACTCCATTGGCATTGGATAGGAGCACAGATTGACAATCATCCGAAGCATTGAAGGATAGGATGGCAGGAGGGAGATAGGCTCTTCGAGACCTTGCCAACGACCGACGAAGAAGGGTCACCAGAAAGCTTGATTGCTTTCCCATTTGTGGACACCCCTTCCGAAGCTTGTCGGCCCAGAGGGAGTTAGCCTTCGCGCTCCCAACTCCAAGTATCAATCAAAAACCTCGAAGTGCCTGAGACATATAGAAAAACCCGTCAACCGCTCTCTAGGAAGTTGTAGACGCATGGAAGGAGATTCATGAACGAAGTCACCCAAGTAAGCGCCGGGAGCGTTGGGAGAGCGCGGAGGAATAGGGTTTTTCGTTCAACTCCTTCGGATCCAATGAATTCCGAGAGAACGATGGAGATGGAATTAGCAACTCGGGTAGGTCGGTCGAGCATCTGTTGTATCCATCCGGCAGGCGGGAGATGAAGGCAGGAATATCTACGTATTATGGGTGCGGAGGAATAGGGATCCCTATTCCCTAATACCCGGTGCCCTTTGACTTATTTTCTCGCTCCTGAGACTGATGGGTCAACCCATTAGTCTTGTTATACCAATCCGTTGCCTTAGGAAAGGCGAGTCGATTCAAGATCGGAGTCATCTATCGGTTTGAGATTCCTTCGCTGTAGAAAGGAGTTCCATATAGGCTATATCATAAGCCGCTACTCAAGAGGATAATGAATTCTTTATTATTTATTTAAGCTTCCTATCCTGCCTACTAATTCAATACTAAAATACTAAATAGAAGAATAGAAGATGAAGGAGAAAGGGATTATAATCCATTGCACTCTATCTTACGTAGGGAGCTTCCTTCGTGCTTATCCTCTTCCCCTAAAGTAATTTCTTACCTCAGGCCAAGTCCTAAGCTCTGGACTACTAATGGACTACTAATAATAAAATAGAAGGGTCCTGTGGATTTAGGTATTCCTCTCCCCTTTGAACATAGTGAAACGAATTCTCTAGGTACGAAGTCACTCGAAGAGGTACGACCAAAGGGAGTCCCTAGAGATTCGTTGAACTATGTTCAACTCATTCGAAGAGGGAGAGGAATCTCTGTACCTCTATTTTTATGTCGATTCCTCCACACTTCCATTCCTTGAAGAGGGAAGGCTAACTGCTTGCTGGCTGGGAGCTGTATGAGCGGTAACGTCCACGTACGGCTCCGTGAGAAGGGAAATGGCCTTGTTGTACCTCACTCTCGTCTTCAATGGGGTCTGCTCTTTTTTTTTTGGGGGAGTATGCCAATATGATCTTAATGAGGTGCGGGGCTTTGCATCTGAAATTCGTTGGGTTCCCGGCGTTTTTGTGCAATAAACCCCTCCGGCCGAAGACTAGTGGTAGGTGGTCCTGCGGAGCTTTCGGAAAAGGGTAGCCTAGTGTGTAAGCACAGCAATGAACCGCGGCGAACCCTCAGACGACCTATCTAAGATTAGGGGGGGATCCCTTGAACTAGATACGTATCTTTCAGTAGTGGTGACCCACGGACTTATACATGTACCGAATGCTCATACGGGAAAGTTGACTCCTGGGAGGTTGCTCCGAAGGAAACGAAGAGGTACGAAGTCGCTAGAGATTCGTTGAACTATGTTCAACTCATTACGTATTACTTGAAATACGTATCTAAGGTATCTAAGTTATCGACTAATCATCTCAATCCTCTCTTTCTCGTCCAGTCAGGGGGGTGCGGACACACCTGCGCGGATTACAGGTGACAGTTACAAGAATGGCGGGGAAGTAAACAGTACCCGACGACATTCAGGGATGGATGTAGACCCATCGGGCAGGGATAATCATTCCGGTCCTGGGAGAAAAAAGACTGAGCTGAGGGAAGCCCTCTCCTCACTTCGTACCTCTTCGAGGTACGAAGTCACTCGACCTACGGGAGAGGTACGAAGTCACTCGACCTACGGGAGAGGGACTCCCTTTGGTCG